ACCACCCCAACCCCTATCTTACCCCCGAACCCCTACCCCTACCTAAATAGAAATATTATTTAGAGTACTTTCTTTTAATGTTGTAGATAGAGTATTTTCTTTTTCATTTCAACAAAATAAATATTTTCTTTTTATGATGTAGAAAAAGTATTTTCTTTCATCTCAATAAAATAAATATTTTCTTTTCATGATGTAGAAAAATTATTTTCTTTTGTTTTAACAAAAAGATAACTGTCTTTTCATGGTGTAGAAAAAGTATTTTCTTTTTCACAAAATGAGTACTTTCTTTTCATGATGTAGAAAAAGTATTTTCTTTTTCGCAAAATGAGTACTTTCTTTTCAAGTTGTAGATAAAGTATTTTTTTCGTTTCAATAAAATGTGAATACTTCTTTTATTCTATTGTGATACCTGAAAAATAGCTCAGTACCCGTCCTTTATTTTACCGAAATAAATTTATTTGTTGTTTTTTCTTTTGCGATAATGTGTTTCTTCTTTAATTTCAGATTTTTTTCACATTTGATGATTATTTTTGTCAACAACAATTAGTTAAATTCGACATCATGAAACGGAAGTACTCATTTTGTTGAAATGAAAGAAAATACTTTTTTTACGTGATAAAAAAAAATACTCATTTTATTGGAATGAAAAAAATTATATTTTCTACATCATGAAAAGAAAGTACTCTAAATATTATTTTCATATATTTNTAGGGGTTGGTGGAGATGGGGAAGGTTGAAAAAGCGTTTTCAATTGATAGGGAAAATATTTTGATAAGGAAAATATTTTCCTCCAATTGGAGAAAAACGAATTCATAAAGAAAATGTTTTTCAAACACTTAAACCAACCGAACATGTAAAAATTAGAAAATATTTTCCAGAACATGGGTCAAGGTAGAGCTCTAAGATTGAGCATTTTCATGGGTCAATTTGGGCTAATGATTTTTATGGGTTAACTTGGGTTAGCCCAAAACAACCCATTTTCAAAATCATTCTAGCCCAAACCCATTAAAACTTGGGGGGGTCAAATGGGTTTGTGTTAGTTCTGCCACCCCTATTTAGGATTTACGCTTAGTTGTTTTGTTGTATCCAATGAGTTTTTATTAACAAATGAATTAATTATTAGGATTAAGAGGATTCTATCTAGTTTATAATGAAAATACAATTGTTATCCCATTTTATTGTACAAAAATGCAACCTAGATAAATAAAAACCAATTCATAACAACAACGACAATAGATCAAAAGACATCCAACATTTGCACCAAATTACTGTCAGGAAAAACAATATTGGTTGAAATACAGATGTAACAGTATGTTCAGAAGGAAAAAAAAAGATTACTACTTCAAAATAGCAAATAAATATAAGTTGTAGATCAACCAATACTGCTTAGACTACTACACTAACCGCATAATCAAATATTCTTGTATACTTAATTGCTTTACTATTATTATTTAACAAACAAGTATTGTAAATCAGAAACTAATATAAGTATGATCTAATAGCCAAGAGTAAAACAATCATGGAAATTAAAAGAAAATATACTGCTAACAGTATTTACAACTTCTAAGGAGATTGTTAGGTTTAAGCCCTTGCAAAGAAAAGGACATTGTTAGGAAAAAATACAGCTTCTTAGTTCCGAAATTTTCAATCAAACATGAAACTTTACCTATGGGAAAATAGGAGCTATAAGCATTCTCTTAAAAGTGAAGGTGAAAACAATGAGAATTTTCTTAATCCGCCTTAAAAAGAAGGCTTTTCGTGAACAAAAGGATTCAACTTTTTTCTTCTTATGCACAAATTTATAACCGACATGCTAGCATATGTAATGATAAATGTCCCTAACCTCTCTGAGTATAGAGAAGTGAACTTCATGTGTAGCCAAGCCCAACATAATTAAATCTGCATCCTGTTGTGGCACCAGATATCAAGTACAATATTCATGAAAATCAGGAAGAAGATTCCATCCAAGAATTTACAAGTCATCCAAAGATAAGACGTACCAAACCATAAAGACAATGGCGTGTATTTGGATCATAACCAGAAAGATTCCTTTGGATACGAATATAGGACATAATTTTATGCTCACCTTCACCAGGGACATTTGCATCAGAAAGTATAACCTTCGAAAAAATAGTTGAATAATAAGTACACAATAATCTTTAGTATCATACCAAGAGAAAAGAAAGTGACTGCATCAACCTACAAAACAAAACCAAATAATCTCAAATTGAAACAGCAAGAATTTACAGGAACAATACCTTAACTTTTTTCCATCCAGGATCATGGTTTAGTCTAAGGTGAATATAATATTGAAGAGCGATTGACAATGTGGCCATGAATTGTGTCCCTGGAGTAATTACATTTGAATCAAAAACTTGGGACACCTGTTTAGGAGGAAGCTTCCTACCCTCCCTCTCAAATTCCTCACGCAATGTTTCCTCCTCAGCTGCCTAAAAGAAGGATTCCATGAGATAGTACTTGAGCAGAAATTATTACTCCATGATTAAAGAATATTAAGGGCATGTACCGCATCTGCTGCATCTTTCGCTGATCTAAAACGTCTAGATCTTTGCTGGTTCATTTTTGCCCTTGGCGCAACACCATCTACCAAAATATATACCGTCAGTAATTAGCGCAGAAATCTATCCACTTATAATATATATCACTGTTTTGTACAGAAAATTGCTCGATGGGAAAAATGATTAGAAAAGAAAATCTGGGGCCCATCTTCAAAAACTTACAGGAGGGACAAAGAAATATAAAATAATTTGATTTTATAAAGATTTTAGAAGTCGATAATTAAGTATTGAGAAGGAAAGTAAAAGCAGTTTTAGTTCCGTCTTTATGATTTCCAATTTCATTATTTCCTATGCAGGGAATTTTGACAAGAGAACCCAAAGTTTTCTTCGACTTCCCCAAGCAATAATAACCCACCCCTTTCTTAATACATCTGACCCATATTTCATTTCCTTTGGTAAATATAGAATTCTTAATATAATTGAAAGGTAGTTTGACCGTGTTACCCACCAATAGCCATAAATAGCAGCTTTCGAGGACGCACCATAGAGAAAAGCCTGTCTATGTAATCAAACATGCAATGGAACACCTCATCAAATGTTGTTGGAGAAGGCTGCATCAGAAAGCACGGAAACTTATGCAATAGATAATAGAGAAGATAGCACAAATAACGAAAAAATCTTACAGATATAACATGAAAGCAGTATCCCCCAAACATGTATACAATAGTAACATATGTCATCAATAAAAGGGCATAATGCTACACTGTGTTCCAACTATTTATCTTAACGTTCCTCTTCTTACTATAGCAGAAACAATGTGCATGCATAATTCATTTTTTTTTAATAAGGTAATAAATTTCATTGAAAAAAGGCAAAACATGCCCGTATACAAGGAGTATACCAAAAAGTAAAAAACCTTACAAAAGGACATGGTTTTCTATGAACGACACCCAATATTCCATACAAATAGGAACCTCATGGGTGCACCAAAAATAAATAAGGGAAAAGAGGCTACTCCTCAAGTGAATAAGATCTTTTTCTACTGCATCAAAAACTCTCCTATTCCTCTCATTCCAAACAACCCACATGAGTACTAGGGGGCAACATCCCATGCTTTGCGTCTTCTCTTTCGTCTTCTGAAGCCCCAACTAAACATAGCTTCTTTCACCGTGACTGGCATCACCCAGTTGAAACCAGACCAACTCAAAATTTTCCCCCACAAATAAGATGCTATCCGGCAATAGTATAAGGAGATAATTCATATCGTCCCGATTCTTTGCATATGAGTCACCAACCAAACACCGATAATCTTCCTCTTCCTCAAATTATCCGCCATCAAGATCACCCCTGTTGTAGCTAGCTAGTAAAGAAGCACACCTTTCTCGATACCCTGAGAATCCATATCGAATTATGTGGGAAGACCGGCTCCTTCCTAGATAGAAGCTTCTCATAATAAGACTTCACAAAAAAAATGTCATTTTCCCCGGCACCCCATCTCCATGTATCATGACTATCTAGTGAATTTTTTTGATTGTGAAGCAGTCCGAGCAAGTTTTGAAATTCTTCTACCTCCCAATCTTGCAAGTTCCTTCTAAAATCTCACATCCCACTGCACTTCTTCTCCTTGTAGATTCCACAACCCGTTGGACATGTATCTTCTTTTGGCTTGAAATATTATACATATTCAGATATGTGAATGTGATTACGCAAGACATGGCGCAGCTTCAGTTGACCGAGGACATGACCCTTGATAGGAAGGTATGGAGGTCGAGGATTAGGGTAGTAGAGTAGGTAGCCTAGAGTGTTCATAACAATAGTATTGGCATGCAGTATCGCTTTCTGTTGGTAGTAGGTTTTTATGACTAACTGTTGTTTTCTTTCATTGTTGATCACCTTACTATCTTGTTGTCTTTATTATGCTTTTATCGGGCTTTTGGTGTTGTCCCTTCTTGTCTTTATTTTCATTAATGTGGTGCTTATGCTTTCCTAAGCCGAGGGTCTATTGGAAACAACTTCCCCAGATAATGTCTGCGTACACACTACCCTCCCCAGACCCCACAATGTGGGATAATACTAGATAGGTTGTTGTTGTATTCAGATATGTGAATGTGATTCTCAAAGCTTTGTTCCCGCACCACCTATGCTCCCAAAAACTTATCATCCTCCCATCCTACACCCTGAATGAGATGTTGTCATTAAACTCTTCCCACCCCTTTAAGATATTCCTCCATAGCCAACACCTATAGAGAAGTGAGATATTTTTGTCCTCCACAGCCCTTCTAAAACCCCGTACTTCTCTGCAGTTACCCCTCTCCAAGAGTAACCACCTCTACTCCAAATCTCCATAGCCACTTACCCAATAGTGTCTTATTCAAGACTCTCAGGTCTTTAATCCCAAGCATACCCTAACATTTCGGGATAGTGACGGTCTTCTAATTGACCAAGTGAAATTTTCTCTCCATGTTTGTGCCATCCCATAGAAAGTCCCTTTGAATCCAACTTGCATGTAACATTAACTGGGCGTGCAATAGGGACATGAAATATGTGGATATGCTTGATAGAGAACTCTTAATTAAGAGTTCCTTTCTCCCTTTGGATAAATACCTCCTTTGACAACCCACTAGCCTCTTTTCTACCCTCTGGGTTCCAAACTTGGTACTTATTGAATGCTCCTAATGGGAGACCTAGATAAGTAGAAGAAAGTGTTCCAGTTGTGCAATTCATCATCTAGACTCTTAATATTCCCCACCTCACCAACTAGTATAATCTCGCATTTTCTGAAGTTGATCGTTAGGCCCGATACCACCTAGAACCATGTCAACACTTGTCTCAGGAAAGACAACTGAGTATTGTCAGCATCACAAAAAACTAAGGTATCATCGAACAAAAGATGAGACACCTTCACAGTGCCTTGTCCACTGATCACTGCCAAAAAAAAAAATCTTAATAACCCCTGCTACAGCTCTGTCCATCATCCTGCTCAATGTTTCCATCACAAATACGAACAACACTATGGGAAAATGGGCCATTATGTCATATAACTCACAAACTACCAAAGAAACCACATGGGTTACTGTTCACTAGGACAGAAAACCTGGCAGTAGAGATACAGAATTTGATCCATTTCCTCCAAATAGCACTAAATACCATTTTCATCGTAATGAAATCAAGAAACTCCCAATTAACATGATCAAAGGCCTTCTTAAGATCTAATTTGCATAAAATCCCAGCTTCCCCTTGCTTTTTTTCTCGAGCCCACCACTTCAATGGCCACCAGAGCTGCATGTAGAATTTGCATGCCTTCCACAAAAGCATTTTGAGAAGAAGACACTGACATATCTAATACCTTTTTTAGTCTATTGGAAGGCATTCGATCTAGTGATTGCAAACTCGAGTTTTCTGAAGCGAGAGGAGCATTTGGTTACGTACCAAAGTTCGGTGGCGAAGACTCAAATTGACTATCTCCTCCTCAGGAGATGCAACAGAAGGTTGTGCGAGGATTGCAAAGTTATCCCAGGTGAGACCCTTGCAACGTAACATAGGCTCTTGGTGATGGACGTTAGTATTATGATAAGAAGGAAACAGAGGTCAGTACGAGGCCGCCCGAGGATTAGGTGGGGCGCCTTGACTAAGGTTAAAGTCCAGGAGTTGGAAGGAAGGTTGTCGGCAATGGGAGCTTGGAGAAGTAGTGGGGACGCAAACACTATGTGGTCGACGACGGCGGACTATATAAGGAAGGCGGCGAGAGAG